ATTGTCCTGGGGTCACAGTTCTTTGAAATGTCCTCAAAATGTATATATTCAAACAACAAATGCTTAAACCCCCCAATGACTCTATGCCAACCCTAACACCACTAGTCGTAAAGTTCTATTAGAAGTAGGACATTCCTCTCAAGTGAAACTCTATTCGAAAGGAACGCCTAATTAGTTCAATCCTTATAGGATTGAACTACTCACCACTATAAATATAGACCATCAACCCATTAATTAGGTACGTTTTTTCTTCAATCCCCTTTCTAACTTAAGCATCGGAGGGGTGATGAAAACACATCTCGTTGCCTTTGTTTCAGGTACCGAAAAATCGCATTCGTGCTTGTTATCAATCCTCATCCTCGAGATCTACTGGGTACAATTTTTTGTAGCATCAGATACCATGATGAATATCAAACTTCACCAATTAAACAAAATGAAACTCAGAAATCAAATCCATCAAATAAAACCCACAAATCAAATCTATCTCAATGGTATGATTGACATTCATCAGATAATGAAAATGAGTCTACAAAAGTTCCACTGCGAGGAGGAATAATAGTTCTTACACAGATCTACCGAATTTTCATCAAATTGGAGTTATGGAGATGGTATGATGATATACTCAAGCCGATTTCATCTTTGTCAGCGACGCTTAGAAGTAAATGTTGTTGGTTTGTGTGTGAAAGAGAGGGAAGCACTTTTCTGGTTCTTCTATAGCTTCTAATTTATGGGATTCCAAGAAAAGGGTTGTTTGCTTTCAAAAATGAAGAAATCATTGGGCAAAACAGAGGTGTAGGTGTGGTTGGCCGTGGGGACGAAGAGGTTTGTGGAAAATGGACAACACCTCTCTCTCTGGTTTAATTATTTTATTATTATTGTAAGTATACCATTTTGCCCTTCATTTAATTTGTCAATTTAGGAAAATTTTCAATTTCAGCATTGATTTACGAAATTCTAGACGGAATTTGTTATATGGACTCTAGCTATCATTGAAGTGAAAGGTTTGGGATTGTAGCCATAAAAATAAAAGGTCAGGGTATAATTTGCAACAAAATGAAAGGTTTAGGATTGGCAATAAAATTTTCTCAAAAAGTTCATTTGGATTTCTCTAGCTAAGTTCACCCAAAACCCTCCTCCTTCTTTTCTTAATTTTCATATTTTTACTTTAAAAAATTGCATTCGAAATTAATGCCCACAAAAATTTTCATTCGTATTTAATGGGCATAATAATAAGGATAACAATGGAACGGAATCTAATCAAGGCGAAAATTCCTCGATTAATTGAGGAATGGAGTAGGAACTAGGCCAAAATCCTTGCCTCGATTTGGTCTCTCCCGATCTTGATCCCAATCCTAATCTTGTCCCTATCCACATTTTTATTCTAGTTAATAAAGTCATTTATTAATTATTTATATAAAAATAGTATAATATAGAATTTCATCATTATTTACAAGTTTTTAAAATATTTATTTGTATCATATAATTAAATATAGTTAATTTAATTTATTAATTAATGATACTTAATTTAATATTTTAAATAAAATAATATTGTATAAACATGACCATAAACGAGAAATTGGGAGTTACTTATCCCCATCCCAATCCCAATCTCAGAAGAGCAGATGTGATATGGAAATCTCCAATAAGGCAAGAACGAGAAACATAATTCCTACCTCGAACCTACCCTTTTGTTATTTATACATGATAATCTTATACTTGTGTAATATTAAAAGTAGATAATGAGTTCCTTATTCTATCTGATCAAAGATTAACATTAACTTCAACAATAAATTCATGACTATTACTCCTTATCTACAAATTTTATAAGACCAAATACTATGCCTCCAGGGCACATCTCCAAGTGGTAAAAGGGGAGGGTAAAGAAATCCAACTTTACTTGAGGCTGTCGCGTCAAGGATTCGAATCTTGAAATATGGATTTGGTTCTTGGAGTAAGTGCAAGTGTACAAGCAACCTTCCACTCTGTTTCCTTGGAGGCATAACCTGCAATTTACCTCTCTCACGATACTCCAGAGCAGAAGTGGTGGGGGACCCTTAAGGTTGGGGTTCAACCTTATAAAAGGTACTAATAATTGTCAACTGACACAAAAGGACTCAAACCTTTCAAAAGCAGATCGAATAGTCGCAGACCTTCTCATTTTTTATGCAAATGGTCCTTTTGGACGAATTCCGTCCAAAACAATTGTTTCTCCCATGAATTCTCTTTCTTATAAAGGGAAATTCATATGTAATCATAACTGTGACGAAAATAGCCTACCTAAAATTTTGTCTCACTTTTGTTCACAGCCTTTAAGATTAAAAAATAAGACCCTCCTATTTACAACAAAAACTAATTAAATAAAATACAAAAAAAAAATAATAATAAAATAAATTCATCTTCTCCATTCACCAACCACTGAACCACAATCACCAAATCACAGCCATCCTTGTCACCATAGTGGTGGTCCCAAATTTGCCTCTCTCGAGTTCAAGCCCAAAATCAAACTTCTCATCAATTTTGTGACTTGTCAAATCTTTCGACCATGCCCATAGTGGTGGTCCCAAATTTGCCTCTCTCGAGTTCAAGCCCAAAATCATACTTCTCATCAATTTTGTGACTTGTCAAATCTTTCGACAATGTATATGGGTAGGTAGAGAGAGTCAAAAACGTCTTTTTGCATAGACTTTTTACTCTCTTGAAGTTCCAAACTCTTTTCTTTTTCTTTCTACATTTTTTTTCTTGTTTATCATTTTTTGCTTTTTTACTTTTTGTTGGTCTATGCTTGAACCTTGATATTGCTTAATTTGTTATTTACAGATGCATCCACCACTAAAATGAATAATCATTTTTTTTGTGATATCAATATAATTACCCTTTTTATTCAGTTAAAATACCAAAACATGGACAAAATTGTTTCGTTATGGATCCACGTAACACTAAACTGATAATTTCAAACAATTTTCTAGTTTTCGATTCGACGATTTTTACTTACAATCCCACTTATTAATACACAAGTTAATTTTAATATAAATATTTTTTTTTATCAAGTCAAAAAATAACCAAATTGTTAATAATTGAGTTGCTCATTCGAGTACTACTTTCAAAGTAATCTTTCTTCTTAAATGTAAAAAGAAGTAATTATAATATGTTAAAACAAGTTTCATTACTTATCTTACATTTGAATAATGTTATTCATAATAAAAATTATTGATAGTAATCCTATGTTTATAATGTATATGTGTCTCTTTATTATTTTGACGCATTAATGTGATAATTTTTTATTGTCTTATATATCAAATAACAAATTAATACATGTATGCCACGTAAAATTATTATCAGTAATCTACTAATCTCCAATATGAATGCATTACTCTTTACATTTAGCACTTGTTTCATTTTAATTATTTAAGAGATGACTTTTTGAATTTTTTTTTATGATTAAACAAACGTGAAAAATAATAATTTCTTTTTGAAAAATATGTTGTTAAAGATTAACATAAAAAAAATGATTCTCAAAAAAATAAAAAGGGATAATTGCAGCAGAAGCTCCAAACCTTTTAAACACTGGCAGACTTTTTTCTAATCGTTCATTTGTTACAACCGTCACCTCAAACTTTTCCTAAAGTTGTATTTAAGGCCCTTTTGGACGATTTTCGTCAAAAATTCTGTCAGTTGGCCATCAAAATTAACTTTGACTATCATTTAATCAATTTTAAAAGGATAAAATGGTAATTTTCTATTTACCACATTAAACAATTAAAAAACTTAAATCAAAAACCAAAAAAGAATAAAAAAAAAGAAAAAAAGAAAAAGGAAAAATGGATCTTCTTCTCCCCCGTCCCCAACCCCACTCCCTAAATCCATCGTGGACGTCGCCATGAATCCTTGCATAGTTCGCGAAGTCTCTGTCATGCGCCACCTCGACCACCACCCCAACACCCTGGAACTCCACGAAGTCATGGCCACCAAAACCAAAATCTACCAAGTCATGGAGCTCGCCCCCGGTGGCGAACTCTTCGCCAAGCTCAACCACCAACTCAGATTCTCTGAATCCACGACGCGTCGCTACTTCCACCAGCTACTCTCTCTCTCCTCTTCTGCCATCAAAAGGCATCGCCCACCGCGACATCAAGCTACAAAATCTACTCTTTAACAACAAAAGGTCCCTCAAAATCACAGATTTCAGACTCTCCGCCTTGTCGGAACAGAAAATGGATGGCCTAATATGTACAGCCTGCGGCAGTCCAGCATATACATATTGAAACAATTAAATGACTGCGTGGGATTTGGGGACAATGAACTAAATAACCCTCATGTCGTAGGAAGGAAATCTGATCCAATTGTTGAAACAATTAAATTACCGCATGGGGGTTTGAGGTGAGATGTGGGGTAGGATGGGGAAGAAGAAGATCCATTATTATTATTTTTGGGTTTTTAAATTAAGTTTTTTAATTGTTTGATATGGTAAATAAAAAATTACCATTTCACCCTTTTAAATTTGATTAAAAGGTGCTCAAAAATTTATTTTGATGGTCAAGTGACGAAATTTTTTACGGAAACCATCCAAAAAGGGCCTTAGATTCAACGTTTGGAAAGATTTGGAATGACGATTACAACAAATAAAAAGTTAAAGAAAGGTCTGCTAATATTTAAAAGGTTCGGACCTTCTACTACAATTATCCCAAATAAAAATCAAACAAGGTCTTCAGCTTAGCCAATTGTGCCCTAAACATCTTCACAGGCTGGACAATGATTGGCTTAGCCTTTAAGCAGCTATTTGGGTGTTTTTTTTTTTTTTTTTTTTTTAACCGCACATACAAAAACAAGACATTAGAAAAGCCACTAAAAAGTTTTGGAAAATTCTAAATGTGCATAATTTTTGTCCATAAGAGTGTCCATGCCTTTCACGTGGGGTGTGTTTGTCCATAAGGGTGTCCATGCCTTTCACATGGGGTGTGGACACACCCCATGTGAAATATCAGCAAGATTGTGGGCCAAGCTACTCAATAAGGTGGCAATATCCAATTCCTCCATGCTAATTAAAAAGTAGCAACTTCAACATCAATTATCCCAACTACCAAAACTCAACAATAATTTTTTTTACTGTGAAATGCCTATCCACAAACAGAGATCAGTGAATTCTCTAGCCTACACTGAAAGGATCAGAGTATTCTAGTTTTGCATAATTCTTGAGTTGCTTTACTTTTCTCAAGAATTCCACATTTGGTACTGATAATTCACGAACCTAACTTATCTTCACTTGATGTCCGGTTTTCCGTCTATGCCTGCTAAAATCGGATACAAATCTAAAAGTAAGGCCGCAGCCCTCAACTTTGCACACGTATGGACGCTCCCCAGTGTGCACTCGTAAGTGTTCAGTCCTTGCCCAAGCCCACTTAAACGACATAGTACAACCCTTCCATGGACATTTGAGGGGCCTATCATCGTCATGAACGCGCTGGTGTTGTACTGCATATTTGTGGGAGTTGAATTTCTTCCTGCACCCATCAACTGGGCATTGATTGCGTTTGTGAAGGAGAAGCTCTGCCTTTGTCTTGAAACTCATTCGACAGCCTTCTAATTCACACTTGTGAGGTCTGGTTTCGTGTTCTTTCTTATCCTTGTGAGGGAGAGAATCGGCAGAAGCCTTCCTCCTTGCCTTCGTCAGAGGCAGCTTCTCCTCTACAGGTTTCCTAAAATCAGTTCCACTGACAGATGCATCTTTTCTGACCCTGGGCCTCAAACTTTCACAGGGACTTATAATGAAGCCACCAACTTGCAATTGATCTTGTGTTAGCAGGTCTATTTCTCGTTTTCTCTTTCTTCCACTCTCTGCAGTTGGTTCAGGTTGTACAGAAGTACATTTGGAATAATTCGGCTCTCTCTGCTCCAGTAAAGAGACATCCATGTCGTTATCGCCATAAGATGCCATAGCAGCATATATGTTACTTGCTACATGGAGTTCTTCAACCGACGTTGAAGTAAATTCTTCTACCAGTCCAGTACCTATTGAAACAGCTTTGTTTTGATTATCTCTATCTGACTGATTTACTTGCCGACACTCAAAAACAGCTTTCTCGAGATTATCTCCGCCTTTCTGAATTTCCAGCCGTCCCATGGAAACATCTGTGTCTTTATTTTCTCCGTCTGTCTGAATTTCCTGCTTTCTCACAGGGGCAGCTTTCTCTTTATTATCTGCATCTCCGTGAACTTTGTTGTGACCCACGCAATTCAAGGTATCCAATACCTGTGGGACAGCTTTCTCTTTATTATCTGCGCCTCTGTGAACTTTGTTGTGACCCTGGCAATTCAAGGTATCCGATACCTCATTTTCTGTTTCCTTCAGTATATGTTTCTCCCTCACATTTACATTTTTTCTGTTACCTTGAGCAGAAACTACAGAACCAGAAAAATTACCAGAATGACACCTCCCAGCTTCAGCTGCAGGTGAACAATTGGAATCATCCAAATAACATCTCTTGTTTTTCTCAAAGTTTTCATCGCCTACCTTGATTTCATGCTGCAGTTCGGGATCATGCCATGTTGTACTACAAACAGTTTCCTTCACTATCAATTCATCAGAAGAGCACAATAAAGTTTGTGCTGCAACATTCTCGACAACTGGCATGGCAGAGATAAATGAATTTGCACATTGAGAGGGAAGAGAATACTCACAACCTCCTGCTTGTGAAAACTTTATGCATTCGTATTCAGATTGTCCCCCAGAAGCTAAAGTGCTCAGCCCAGGATTAGTTTGTTCAATATTTTCAAGGCCGACATGAATGCTTTCAGCAGTTCTTTTAGCTTCTTTCTTTTGATCTACATTGTAAGCAGCAGGAACATTTTGTAGTACACAGTCATTAGAGTCTTTAGGGGGCTCATTTACTTTTGCAGAATTATGAGATTTGTATTTTCTTCTTGAATATTGGATGACTTCAACTTCTTTCCTAGCCGTTTGATGCTCTAACTTTGATCTTAAATCATCCTCCTCTTTTGTGATTTTAAGGTCAGATGGCTTGCTTACCAATGGATGCTTTAGATGACGTTTTGTGCGTAATTTCCTGGATTTCCAATAGAAGCTGGAGGAATTCAAGTCGGGAGTTGCACCGGAGAGCAGCCCACCCAATGTCAATAGATGCTTAACATTCTTAGATGGGAAGTTCTTTTTCACCTTAACACAGTGCTGTAAATTGATACTCATTTGTGAAGTCCAGTCTTCTATGCATCCAGTTTGTTCTTCTCGGTCAATAGCAATATCAATCAAGTATAGATCTTCCTGAGATGCCCCATCCAGAGGGATGTCGTTATAATTAAAAGGTGTCGAAATTTCCTCCGCTATGGCTGCAGTATGTGCATTTATTTTTTTGAAGTCTTCCCATTTGAGAAAATCAGAGAAAGTGAATCAGAATACAAACAAATTGAGAAAAATGGTAAAATAATTGAAGTTTGATTAAATGTGAACGGGAGGTTGAGGTATCATTGTTGTGAGACTCAAAGAGAATTAAACATAATTTCTGATGGTTCCATGCATTCTTATGGTCTTCCACGAGTTCAGCAGAAGTCCAAGAAAATAAACCAGGCTGTAGTGCTGAAATTTAAGGTAAAAAATTAACTTTTCACTTAACATTCCGATGCACAAGAAGATAAACCGAATGTTACCTGAATGACAAATCACGAGAACATTTGCTCCACCCTTTGTACTCAACAATCCTTCAATTTCAATTGCATGCTCCAGGCAGAACATTCGAGGTTTTTCAAATCCACCAGAAATGTTCCATCCTGTCGCAGTCTTAACTTTTGAAGAAGCAGCATCATACTTGGAAGACGATGTATGGTCAGAGATAGGAGATTGCTCAACCGGCGAATGTATACATTGGCTTGACTCAACCACTGAAGATGATCCATTTGGATAGGTTAGATCACTCAGATTTGATCTCGAGTACTCAACACGTTATAAATTTTCGATAATGGTTGATAATCTAGATACTTATAAGAGAATTTACACAGAACCTTTTGCACACAGTAAAAAGAGAATTAGAGAGAGAGCCATAGATGAGTTATCAAAGATAAAGCATGAATTTACAGATAATTCACGTGGTTTGATGATGAAAAACACCACCACAAGCAGGCCTCTTTCTATTGGCAGTTGATACACGGAAAAAAAAAAAAAAAAAAAAAACCACATGAAGTATATAATTTCAATCAGAAATAAAAACATATAGCAGTGGACAACAAGTTCTATCTAGCAGCAGCCATGTATCAAAACATCATTTTCCTGAAACTTATTTTGATCCTGGAAAATTTATGATACATTTGTACAAACCAATAGTCTGGTTAATTAAAATCAGACACTTGGATGTTTTAATGCTCTGTTGTCGTAGAAGCACGTGAAAAATATTTAGCCCCCGTTTGGCCCCCATTATCCTTCTCATTCTTTTTCTTTCTTTTATTTTCAACTACACAATCTTCCATAAAATAATATTACACACAAATCAAAAAAATTTCATTCTTTTTCAACCACACATTTTTCAAAGAAACACTATTCCAACCATTAAAATTTGGAAAGAATGGAGGCCAAATGGGGGCTTAATTTGATGGGCCATTTCTAATATATGTATCACTTAGAAGAAATTACATTACTACTAGAATTTAAGACACAAGAAAAACAAAGTGAATGTGATGACAGCATAGGATGGGCAAGAGCATGTTTCTGGACCTTGTACCTGGAATAGAGGCCTCAAACATGTGATAGAGATCAGAAAGGGAATGAGATTCACCTGGTTTGGAAACTTCTAGATCTTCAATGGTATGATGATCCTCAAGAAGAAGAGTCTTTGAGGCTTCCACAGATGGTTGTACAACAGCCATAAATGGAAAACCAAGAATGCCACAAGCAACACAGGGTAAAGTTCCAGAATCCATATGAAAATCATATGCCAAGTCATCATCATCTAGGTCAAAATCAACTGCATTAATACAGCTAGTCAACTGGCTGAAATGATCCTGATTATCATCATTTTCAGGATAAGCCTTTTCACTTGATGTTGATATTGCAGCATCTACACCATTGCCAGATTCAGATTCTTTACTTGAAGATGGCAACAATTCCAGGTCCCATAGTACTACACGGTACAAGGAATTTCTCTGAAGGAGAATAGTCAAGAGATTGTTTTCGTTCAAGATATCTTCAATAAATGCTTTCTTTACTAAAAATTCTCTTTCTTCTTTCTGACGATCTCTATGACGTGAGCTTCGCACCCCTGGTAGTAAGGATCTTGGTATTCTGAAATTCAATAAATTCCAATCTTAAAAGTTTGGACAATCGGTACAATAAAAGCATCTCAGACCTTCTATTCTAATCATCAAGGGAAAAAACAGCGAGTTGACAGCATAAAAATAATGTTAAGTCAAGTTCAAAATTTATAATTGATCATAGATCGAACCTGAGATTTCTGCCTAATAGATAGTTACCTATTATGTGAAGTTCGGAGGGTTATAAGATTATGTCATATCAACCATAAGCATTTTGGTGAGTCAATTATTTCTTGTCTAGGACCAGTTTAAAAAAAAAAAAAAAAAATCAATTACTACTAGTTTAATAGTATGAAAAATAAAGCTGGGATCTTTATGCCGACTACAATTGGATAGAAAGCTGGTCTCACAACATACGAGGTCATACGTGTCTTAAAATGCACATTGCACAGTACATATTTCCAAAATTTTCCTAAAGTATTTGACTCATTTTCCCCTTAAATATGATGCTTTATTATCCAATATCTCTTTCTTCAAAAATGATTCAAGAAAAATAATTATAAACTTCCTTTTTCACAACAGCTCTGAATAATCTATTTTTATACCCTTGATACCAGGACTAACAAGTTTCCCATCACTGAACAAACCCCAAAAGAACAGAAAAATATAGTTCTGAATCTCTGTCCAAGCCAATTTTTACCTAGAATTTCTAACTCAGCTTTTCCATCGTAGCGGAACTTCCATTGATGGAAAACAGAAACTCCAGACAAGAATAAATAAATAAATAATAAACCAAGAGTTTGCCCATGAAGAGGTTAAGAAACACACTCAAGGGCATGCTTTCATTGATATCTTCATACACAATGGAGTGCCTCAAATGAAACAAAAAGTAGAATTTCAATGACTAACTTGGAACCAAAAAAAGTTAAGTAACTAAATAACAAACACTATAAGTTGTTGACTAACAGCGCTCTTAGCCCATAAGTTTATTAAAGAGAACAGAATCGACCACTAAACAACAGACACCATGCAAATAACCATGACTCACCTTAAGAGTGGATCCAAGAAAGAAATTTAAAGATCATTAACATCTTTTGTTCAAGATCGGGAATCAGTCCCAGGCAGTAAATCTGGTGCCAATTGTTGCCAGTGTAATACAAAAATTAAGGGAGCTACAGCTTAGCAAGTCATTGATGATCCCTAAAGAACACATTAAGGAAATCTAAACCAACATATGGGTTGACAGTAACAGTCAAAGCTAGAAACCTGACCTTGAAATGAAAGACATGGTCAACAAGTATAAGAGCTGCTGATGAGAAAGCATGGGTAGATAATTCATGGCAGCTCTACGCACAGCAGCTTCCTTAGCTATTGCAAGCCATTCAGGTGTGCCAAAATTAGCAGCTTCTCCACAATTGAAACCTGATTTGCATAAGAGAGTCACTAGATAAGCCTCAAATAAACATGCATATAAGAAAGGAAAAGAGATCTACTCAGTTTTGCTAAGAGCAAACATGACATTGGCCTAAGTTACTTACAACATGAGTTCATTGAAATAAGAAGGTTAATTATTTGATCAATGAACTTGAAAATCAAAAATAGCAATTCCAAACCAGTCTTATTGTTAAGCTATTTGCCAGAGTTCAATGAATTACCCAACCTAGAAGCTAGAGCTATAACGCTCAACACGCATCCCATTTGTTTCCGTAAACAAGGTCTAACAGAAAAGAACAATCTATCTGAGGAGTGAAGTACACTTAGACAATTAAAAAGAAGGGGTAAGAAATAAAAGGACGAGGCAATTTTGAAACAAGAAGAAAAAGGGTGGAGAGGGATCAGGACGGGCATTAAAAGAACGAAATAAAAACCTGCTTTGTCATTTAAAAATAAAATTCTTTAATTGTAGTGCACAAAGATATTGAATGATTATGAAATTTGAGAATATGTAATAACGATAAGCTCAGCCTTCATTCCAAGTCTTTGAGGTACCCAACAGCAGGTAAATAGTCAGGGTTCAATATTACAAAACAGGAAACAGATGTTACAATGTTACAATCTAGATGAACATCAAGTTGCTCCAACAAGCATACGATATAAAGTAATTACCATGGCTGAATCCTATGTGGTAAGCCCTCGGAAATGTCACAACAAATTCTCCAGGGTATTGCACCAACCTAACAATGATAACCATGTCCACCTTAGCATAATACTTAACAAACCTTGTCTCATATCAACATGCATTCCACATAACCAACAAAATTATGGAAATAAATCCTCCTATTCACAAACTAAAAAACATAAAGAAAATGCATAAGAATCGATTAAGCCTCTGTCTGGGAAGAATTTATAAGCGGTTTAATATATAAATAGATAGAAATGAGTTGTGGAAAAGTGGAAAGTACTTGTGGGTCCATTAGAATTAGAATGTGTGGTTGAAAACGAAGTTTGCCATTTATAAATTTTGCCAAACGGGGCTAAATAAACCACACACCTGCAACAGGGGATGTTTGATGCAACAATAACTTCAGGAGATAAAACAGTTGTCTTCTCGCCCAAGAGAGTAAGAGCAGCTGAAAATCACAAAAGAATTGAATTCAAGTGAAGAAAATAAAGCACAAGTCTTAGAGCATTCAAAGTTAAAGCTTGATTCTACTGTCAACAGCAAATAAATTTGAAGGTCCGCAATGACAATTAGCATTAACCAATCATTAAATCAAGTATGTAGAAGGTCATTGTGTCTGCTACAAGAAAACAAGGATAGTCGATCAACAAGGCCAAGGTCTGCTCTGAGATTTTAGGGGCCTTAGACCAATTTCAAATATGGGTGTACGACAAAAATTCATGTATTAAAATACAGAAATTGTTACAAATTGTACTTTGATAAATACAAGTGATGTTGACCTTCTTGTAATTGCAAAATTACAAAAATCCTCTGATTAATGATCTGAATATTTGAAGACGATGGGTCACGTGGCTTGAATCCTAACCTTCGAGAATTTGTTGAAAATTTGATTTATCGAGACTTGACTTGTTCGGAACTTGAATCTTGAGACTTGGACTTGGACTTTAATTTAATTTGATTTGAAGAAGACTTTGATCTTCTTGGATTTGGAGTGAACCTGCTTGATTCGAAAAAAATTTAATCTTCTTGGAGTTCACCGAATTTAGGTTTGAGAGAATTTCTTGCCTTCTTTCGGTCTTGGAATTTCTTCAGCACTTTGTGACGTTCTCTGCTTTCTTTTTTGCTTCTTCTTCACCTCTTCTTCTCCTGTCTCATGGACCATTGGTCCTATTTATAGGAGAAATGTTGTGTTAATTTTGGTAAGGAGAAATTTTGTGTTAATTTTGGTAATTACCCAATTATATTTAATTAAAAAAGATAATTGAGTAATTATAGTTTTATTTATTAGTTTGTTTATTTTATTTGTTTGTTTATTTATTTAAAATTTGGTATGGGCCTTTGGGTTTTATGGACTTTAGTAGACTTAAATTTAATTGGGCTAATGATTTAAACCGGCTCAATCCATTTTCTTTATTTTATTTATTTATTTATTTATTTTATATCTACAAATGCCCCCTCAAGATTTATTTATTTATTATGAAATAAATAAATTAATAAATCTTGATTTTCAATTTTATTTTTTATAGGATTTGATTTGAACTTAAACTTCCAATACAATGAAAAATTTGAGGATGAATTTAATAAAATTCTTACCTTCGAATTTGAGAATAAGAAAATTATTATTATTTTTCTTTGGGTCAAATTTCGATTATTTATTTATTTATTTTATACGACCCACAATAAATTTGATTTGGACAGACCTTTTATGTTTTATAATAAATTGAGTTTAAGTGAAGCTCATTACCCGCCTATTTATATGAAGGAATTATGAGACTTGGGAACAAGTCTGTTAAATCTTACAAACAAAGGTAAAGTGTGTATTTATTTATTTTTTCCTCTCTTTCTCACGTTTTCTCTCTCTCTCTCTCTCTCTCTCTCTCTCTCTCTCTCTCTCTTTTTATATTTTTCTTGGTTTCTGCACAAAGACAGAAACCAAAACTTTGGTTTTTACCTTTTGCGCAGAAATCAAAAATGGTTTCTGCACAAAACCAGAGAGTCTTTGGTTTCTATGTTAGACTTCTTTTCCCTTCTTATTTATTTTTATTATATTTCTTGGTTTTAGCCACCTGGGCGGCAGAAACCAAAAGCGAACAAATTGTGGTCACTTTGGTCTTTGCCAAGAAGAAACCTTAACATTTTTTTTACACGTAAACTCCCTTTTTTTTTGTTCGGTTTTTTTCTTTTCCTTTCTTTCTTTCTTCTTTATGTATTTTATTTGTTTATTTTTTTAACTACCCCTCTATTTTGACCCCCTTTTTTTCTCAAGAAAATTGAAACTAACAATCTTCATTTTTTTTTTTATTCAGGGTTTCAATTTTTTGGAGCGAATCAAGGATTTTAAGATTTAAGATTTTCTGTGTACATGTTAAATTTTTTTTATGTTGCAATTATTTTATGAGTTCAGGAAATATATGCTTATAAATAAACTCAAAATTGCAAACATTCATACACATTGAGGACCAAGGATTACCACTTTCCACCATTCAATGCACTTTTTGTTGGGGACCAAGGACTTGCTCCTTTGACTGTCCAATGCATTTTGTGTTAAGGACAAAGGATCTGTTCCTTCAATTGTCCAAGACACTTTGTGTTAAAGATTAAGGATTGGTTCTTTCGACCGTCCAAGGCACTTTATGTTTGGGACCAAGGCCTGGCTCCTTCGACCATCTAAGGCACTTCATGTTTGGGACCAAGGACAGGCTCCTTCGACCGTCTAAAGCACTTTGTGTTGAGAACTAAGAACTTGTTCCTTCGACCGTCCAAGACACTTTGTGTTGGGGACCAAGGACCTATTCCTTCGACCATCCAAGGCATTTTGTGTTGAGGACCAAGGACTTGTTCCTTCTACCATCCAAGGCACTTCGTGTTGGGGACCAAGGAGCCGTTCCTTTGACCGTCCAAGGCACTTTGTGTTGGAAACCAAGGACTGATTCCTTTTACCGTCTAAGGCACTTTGTGTTGGGGACCAAGGACCTATTCCTTCTACAACCGTCCAAGGCACTTTGTAGAGGCTGCTTACATATTTGGGAGACTTGTGATTTTAGACAATAAACCAATTTAAAAGATTTATTGCACCCTTATCTAGCTAACTTTTTTTTTTTTTTTTGGTAGACTTGTAATAAAGTGTACTCTTATATACACGAAATTGTTGGAACTTAAAAATCAAGGCAAAAGTTATCTGCGTTTCAAAGATACTGACGTGAAGTACCATGCCCAGACTGGCGTACGAGGTGAACTTAAATTTAGTGTCCATAAGCCAACGACAGGTTCATCTCCTGACCTTCTGAAGCCATTGTCGGAGTTGTATATGCCCAACATTAGTGAATGTGACGAGGATTTGGATGTCAACAAGTCCAACAGCTCTAGCAGTCATATTCCCTTTTTGTGTCTTCCGCCTCATCATTCCCAGAGTATGGAGTGCATCCCAAAGGCTATAATTTGTGAGAGGATTGATAATAGAGAAATACGATGAGGAAGCACGTTGGTCAGTCGAGGGGAAATTTCTTTTCTTCCAAAATTTTGAGAGTGGTCTTTATGGATCCAAAAACTTCTACTCAAGAGGAATCTTCGGGAGTTAGCTTTTGCAGTCAGTTCTGCTACAAAAGATTACCATCACCCAAACTCTATTTATAGAGCTCTTTGTGAGGTTTGGTGTCCAGAGACCAATACCTTTGTGACAACCAAGGGTGAAATTGGCATTTCTCTTTGGGACATCCGCGAGATAAGTGGACTTTCGTTCATGGATCATTACTATGAAGAAGTAGTCCCAAGCCTTTCAGAGTTGACGGATCATCTTCCCAAGTCTTGTCTATACACCTTTAATGTTTTCGCATTGATTGCCCATGCAAATAAATCTGACAGGGTTACTCACGAAAAATGGATTAATTTTTGGTTTTACGAGAATGGTTGTGTCCAGAATCCTCGACAACACAAATTATAAAAATGCTATGAATTTAAATCCATTCACAGGTGTCATCAAAGAGCATCGAAGGAAATACGGAGGCCCATGGTGGCAGACAAGCCGAGAGACATTACTCGTTGGGATCGACATCATTGGAGCAATTTGCCAGTATCTCAGTCTGTGGAAGAAGAAGAGGAATTAGAGATAGCAGTCTATCTCTCCCTATGGCTTTATCGCATCACTCTTCAATCTGGGGACGAAAGTATGAGAGTTAGGACTTTTAAAGCATCTTCTAAGATGGCAGGCGGATACACTTATAGCCTAGTCCTACCCATATTGGTGAGCATTTATAGTGGACTTCACGAACATCTAACTATCAGACAAATCCAGACCTTGGCTCAATTTCACATTCATTTCCTTAACATTTTCTTTATGCTTGAGCAGCAACTTATTTTATTCGATATGTTTATGCTCATGTGGACAATAGTTATTCTCACCCTATAATTCGAAGATATGCTGGCACTCTAAATGCTTTTTAGTCTTGAGAGAAAAATGTTGATGATTGTCGGGAACTTATCCGTGGAGTGATGAACACCAATGACTTTTGCGGGAATCCATTACCCTCATCGTCTCATCCTGATGTACGTGTGGATGACCAACCAAGGTCTACAGATACTTCAGAATTCATGATGAGTATTCGATCTGAATTTGTTTCTTATCGTCGAGGAAATTAACCTTTCATTCTTCAGGCGTATAATTCTCACAGATTTGTAAGACAGTTTGGCTTTAGACAAAAACTTCCCGGTTCACCAAGATAGTTGAATATTGCCCTCAGTATAGGCGACATGTATCGGGTTTGGTCGTCCTTAACTAGGACGAAAAGTGGGTCTGTATTTCATATTCCAGAGTATGTGAGGGATATACATCAAAATGTTGATGTTGAATACCAGACTTGGTGGAATAGCGAAGTGTTACCACTCTTGACCAAGGTCCAGATGCAAGTCTTATTTTTTAGTGAGAGCCGTGACTTTGTTCTTGGCCCGACTCCGAACAGGGTTTTAGCTAGAGGGTTAAACCCTCCAAATGTTACTCCTGAAGAGGCTTCTCGAAAGAGAGATCTAAACCAGCAAAATGAAAGATATATTAAGAGAATTAAAATTATAGTTCCCTCAACAAATATTGTTGTCACTTCTGAGCCCGCTAATAAGGTGCCAGAAGCAATTTTGATTCCAAATCACAGTAATCCTAGAGATCGAGCATCACAAGCACCGAGAAAGACTTTGACTCCGGAAGATGAAAGTTCTAGAGATCAAGTACAGTTCCTTTTTTTCTCTCTTTTTTTTAATTCTAGAGATCAAATACAGTTCCTTTTTTTTTATCTCTTTTTTTTTAAACATATTGCTTGTATTTGATTTCTTGTCACAATATTCGATTTCAGGCTCATCTTTCTCGAATATACATAATCAAACGACCGGTAGAACCAAGGTCGCTTCAAGCTATTCCGAGTCCTTCAAAAGGTGAAGTTGGAGCTTCTCATATTAACATCA